CCCTTCCCCCCCCCCCCCCCCCCCCCCCCCCCCCCCGTTTTTGGACACTTCCTAATTTTTTCTACTTTTGCTATGAACTGTTTCTTAAGTCTGGAGAAGGTGTCATGAAAAACAAATGTCCCAACTTTCTCCTTGCAGTCCCACCTCTCTGCACCTTCCATTTGCTCTTTAGCTTTTCCAAGAAACCAGCCTCACACCTTTATTCTATACAAAAGTTCTCAAGCACTTGCCTGCAACTCCTGCTTTTTAGAAAATCCCCTGTTGTCATTGAGAATCCACTGATGTAAACTTTGGCTGGGGCTTGCTTCATGAGCAGTACATGTGCAGTGGTTGCTGATGTTTTAGGACATTTGCTTAAGTTTTCATTCAACTCCTGAAAAAGTCTGTCTGCACTAGGAACGTTTCCACCGAGGAACATGTCATGCCATCTTAAATAGAAGTGTGATCGGCCAAACACACTTGAAGATGGGGCTGAGCGCCAGTGTCTAGGGCATGGGCTGTGTAGCCCTGCTTTCCCTCTGGTTCCAACCTGTTTCTTCTCAGGATCTCAGCAGCTGTACCTGGTTTCCAGCAAGCCCGGGCCTGCCTACCATTGGCACTTACAATGTTGACAAAAGTCAGTGCGAGCCATCATATATCTAAGCTCTCACAGCAAAAGCAACTCAAGGATTTCATGGTAAAAGGCAGGAGCAATGGCAGGATCTGTGTGCAAATTTACAACTCGGAATGTTTCCTGATGTATGCAGTTGCCAGGAATCCCACCTAGGGCATCAGTCTGTGATAGTCTTGGAAATTGAGATACAAGGGGTAAAAAGATTGGGCACTTTAGCAAAAATTGTTAGTAAAAACTCACTGAATCTTAGTAATTTTATGTAGAACAGTGTTTCTTGAATTTTTTTTCTGATATTTTTTCATATCTATACCAAAATAGAGGAACTTATTGGAAACCTTCATATTTTTTTTCCACACCCACATTCAGAAATGACCAGCATTGGTTATATTTGCTTCATCTATTTTTTTCTACTTGGAAGTATTTTAAATCAAATCAAAGATAATGTCATTTTATTGTTATATCCCTTATTAAGTATCTAAAAATTTGGGACATTTCATTTGCATAACTTTAGTGCTGTTGGTACATTGAACCTAATGAATAGTTATTCTTTGGTATCAGCAGTTACCAGTTCATGGAATATCATGGCTATCTTAAAATGCCTATTTTTTTTTTCTGTGATTGCTTTCTATCATGCTCCAACCAAGTTCTGGATTCCTACTCATCCAGTGAAAATTTATTTAGCAAATATGTTTTAAGCACCTACTGTGTCTTAGGTATTAGAGTATAAAGGTAAATCCCTGCCTTTGTGGAGAGAACCTTAAAATCACCTAGTCCACACATGAACATAATATAATAAATGTGTAAAATGCTGTCATAATAACCTAGAACTAAATCACTAGCCCTGGTGATGGAAATAAGAGAGATGTTAACAATATTTAAGTGCCAAATCAATACAACTTGATAATACATTTGATGTAGGGAATGAAAATAGAAAGGAAGGATTTCAAAGGTAATTTGATTTTAGCCTGGGATAATTATAGAGTAAAGAGGAAAGGGATGTTGATTATTTTAGTTTGAACAAAGTTTGAGATACCTAGGATATTTCTAAGTGGTATCTGGGATAGTTAGCAATATTGTCTGATGTTGAGGGGTAAATCTGAGCTAGAAATTTAGTGTTTGTGATTCACCATATTCTAGATAGTGTGAAAGCTGTGTTGTGAATAAAAAGACCAGAGACAAGGTGTCAATGTTCAGTGCTTCCTTGAGTGGATTGTCATTGATTTCAGACATCATTGAGTCATGTCATTTGGTGGATACTCTTCGAGTTATCAGTCGTCATTAAGCTATAGGGAAAGATAGTTGAGCATTAGGGGAAGATAGTTGAGCATTAGAGTAGGTCTTTCTTTTTATCATAGTCAGGTGAACCACCCATTATGTTGAACACCCTAATTATAATAATTAATTCTTCCCTTAACACCAGCATTCTCAATGCATGAATTCTAAGAAAAATATATGTAGTAGTAATTTTGAAAATTATTCTTATTGTTCATTCATAACGATGACATTGAATTCTTTACAGAATATAATCACTTGGAGAACTAATCTGGTGAAATGATTAGATGAGGAAGAAAAGTGGGGCTCCCATTAAATGCTACTGCAGTCATGGCAAGTCCCTGTGAAACACACAAAGGAAGTAGGTGTGTTCAGTTTCTAGAATAATACTTTCTGGGAAGCACTTGTCCTGTATCCCAGTGTGTTTGGCGCAAGTCTTATACTGGAAGCTGCCACAGTTTTCATTTATTATGATTTAATTTATTTTATTGCATTGCTCATTTTTACAGGTGTAGTGCTTGTAGCCTCCCACAAGCTACCTTTCCCATCATCATAGTCCTTGTGCTCTTCCCTTCCCCTGTTTTGACCCTTATCCCACTTCCTCCTCTGCTGTACATACATCTCAGTTCTGTGGTCAACTTGCCGGTTTTGTCTCTTTTTTTTGACCTTTTGTTCGGTTTATGTATATTCCACTACCACAATTTTTGTTACGGGGTAGCCCAGAGTGGAGAGCTGGGCTGCTGGTCTGTGGGTCCTCCCCCGCGCACTTAAAATGTAATTTTCTTCTGCAGATACACAAAAGAAGGGTAATGGGTTTTATTACCAAAGAGTGGAAAGGAAAAGGGACAACCTAGGAGAAGAGAGACGGATACAAAGTAACTGGAATATTTTACCAGCTCGGCTAACTTGGAACTCTAGTCACAAACTAACTGCTAGCCCCCAGTCACAGTCTGAGAGCTGTTGCTCCAGAGAGAAAGAGTGTTACCTCTCCAGAGTGACAGTTGAAAAACTTTCTCTCTATTTATCCCCCATAGTCCCAGAATGCCTGCTTAGCTCCGCCCTTGGGTTCTCGCAGTTATTTCCTTGGTACTGCTGGGAGTTGTAGTTTTCCAGTTACTAAAGTAGGGAGTGGAATGCACAAAACTCTGCACAGTTCCTTTAGGACATCCTTCCCCTTAACAATTCTCTTCTTTTGATTTCATACCACTATACCTATGGTGGCACAGATCACAGGGTGTAGTCTTAAAGGTGTAGTCTTAAGAGACAGTCTCCATAAGGTTTCCAGTCTTTGTAAGGTTTCAAGTGTATGCAAGAGAAGCAGCAGTCACCAGCAGTATTCATGAATTCCCAGTATGATAGTCATTGCTGGAAAATAGTCCATCATTATAGGTGAGGAGAAAAAACTTCCAGTGTATGTATGTGTGTGTGTGTATATATGTGTGTGTATATATATATGTATGTTTGTATGTATGTATGTATATACATATATATGTATATACATATATATGTATATATATGTGTGTATATATATATATATATCAAAATAACAGGAAGAAGAAAAAATTTTTAAAAACTTGTTTAACTTCTCTAAAAACAAGTTCTCTCAACCTTGATCCCAACTTAATCTAACAATGTACAACTTATTTACAAATTCAAGCTACTTTTTTTTTTTAAAGATTTATTTATTTATTCATACAGAACTGGAGTACAGGCCAGAGATGCCTGTGAGAGTATTCACCAGAGGGTGAGAGGATTCACCAGAGACAGAGGAGCAGAACAGGCAGGTCAACAAAGTACACTGCTGAGGGGAGCAGTGGACGGGTCAGGAGAGGTCTGCCACACCATGTGGTCACCTCCAGGGCAGGTGGGGATCTAACTCATGCGGAAGTGGCTTAAGCTTCTTAGTGCAGTGCTTTAACCCGCTGCACCACCAGGGCCTCAAGCTACTTTTTAATTAATTTTCTATTTTTGCATAAAATCACAGGGCAGACT